AAAAAAAGAAATTTTCCATTATAAGAAAAACCCCGCCTTCATATTTTTAGCGTTCTGTATAAGGTTCTTCTTGAGTAATAAATCTTAAGGATAATTTCACAACGCACCACCGGCCGATGGCATTTGTAATTTTAACAAAAATTACAAAAATACGGTCATTTAGATAGCTAGGAGCTCGGCTAGGAGGAAGTCTAATGTGCCTTGGTTTATTAGTAGTTAGTTCCACACCACCAGGTACCATCACTTTAAAATTCTAATATGTACTCCCTCCTAATCTCAAAATGGTCTCTACTAGTACATAGATAAATAGTACAATCTATGTTGAAACTCTTTACGGAGATTAACAAAAGTATCTCTTATCATTTGTCTACATTCCTGTGTTACTCTGTGTCTTAGCTTTTGCATATTGTTAAGTGGAGTCTTATACACTACCTGTGCCAATCTATTTACCAGGATTCCGTCAACTGCAGCACTTCCTAATCAAATTTCGCTGTCTGAAGCCTCCCCCCCCCCCCCCCCATGAATTATTTCCTGAGATGCTGTTTTTGGAAATAAAACGTGCGTTTTACTGTTGCAACAGCCATTTGGTCTCAGATTTTGCATACGCATGTCTTTAGTAGTACACAAGTATCAAGTCTCAACGAAAGTAATTTCTGCCAACCATAGTCCTCCTCCTCGACCCCTTATTGTGATTGGTTACAATTCCTTATATTATCTCAAGAACAGATTGTCGGAGGAGAGTACTCACAAAGGGCTATTGGGATGCCTTGAAGAAATATATCCATTGGTAATGCCAAAACTTTAAGAGTCTTCTGTACCCACTGCACCCAATGCAAATTTCCATAAGAGCACCCGCGATAAAAACTCAAGTTGTTTTAAAAAAAATGTGTAAAGAAACTATTTTATAAATTTAGACTTTTATATAGGTACAAAATGTTCGGACTATTTTTTTAAATTTATAGCAACTGAATACCGATTGTTTAAAGATTAGATGTTTTGCACCGATTATTGCGCTAATCTGTTTGATTATTTTACTCCCGATCAAGACGATTTATGGAAGAAGTATACCGACAGTTTTATAGATAAGTTACTTCTAAACATTGGCCCGTATGAATAAAAGTAAGCAAATATATACTTGCAAAATTCAAAGTAATTACTCGTAAGTGCTCCTTCGCACTGGACGACTTAGGAGCGCTGCTAAGCAGAAAGACAGGACGCAGTGCAGCGCTGCTAAACAAACCAGTATAAAGGGGCACTTACGAGTATTTACTTTGAATTTTGCAAGTATAAGCATTTACTTACTTTTATTCATACGGGCCATTACCCCAAAAAATGAAATCGTATTTTACCCAAAATCGTCCTAAAACCTTCATTTTCATGCCTACTTTCTGTCAGGAAATTTTAGTTTCCATGACAGGGGCAGAGCTGACTACGTTTCCTGCCGCTTGTCACTTTACTGGCCGCAACGTCACTTTACTGGCCGCATTTGTTACATTGCTAAATGTCTATAGTGACTCTTGTCACACTGACAGATTGACATTAATCAAAAGTTCTATATGAAAATTAAAATTTTATATTAAAATACGATTTCGTGTAAAATTTAATACAACACTCGTCAGTAAAATGACATTGCTTGATTCGGAAATTAAAGTACTCGGCCCCAAGGGGCCTCGCACTTCAATATTTCCTCGCCAGTAATGTGTCATTTTCCTGACTTTTAAGTAAATAACCTCGTAAGTAACGATTTTGTAAATAAAATCTCGTCGGCGGCGAAGTCGGCGGAAACTAACTTAGGAGCAAGACAGGAGTTGACATAGCAAGAATATCATCTTGTGCCAAGATTTGTTACAAAAAAATGAAGAAAAAAATGTCAAAGTTAAAAAATTAAATTATGTATCAACCAAAAAATTGACCGCAGCGTCAGATCCTCTCCGCCCGCACACAAAGAAATTTTACAGAACCCTACATATTGTTGGATTATTTGTAATTAATGGATAAAAATCACATGGAAACGATAATAAGTCCTTCAGATCATACCAGCACACGGAACCCATTAATATCCACTGGTCTCCACACCAAGGGAAACAATAAAATGAAACATTTAATTTTTGTTACGTTTTCTCGTTGTTTTTATGTACGTACTACATGTTTTCTATGTTCCACCCCCCCCCCCCTCCCCGAGCACGAAAGCAGGAATACTATGGTATCGACATAGCATTTAACAAAACTACCTACTAATCCGAGCTAATCAAAAGTGATTCAGTAAAGCTTAAGTGCCTCAAAAACTTTTTTAAAGTAATTCATTATTGTTTTATAGCGAAGGAGTGTTTTATCGCTGAAACAGAAAACATTGTTTTCATGATTTGCGCTCGGATTTGCATAAAAAGTGAGTCAAATTCTTGACAGAAAAGCTTCCTAGCTCCCCTCAGACCAAAAAGCGCTCTTCGCCGTTTAACGTCTTCGCTTTTTTTTACTGTTGTTTGTGTTTATTACTAATACTTATTACCAATAATTCATTTATTATCTAACGTCAGTAAACACAAAGCTCCTTTTGACGTAAGAATAAGAATGACATTTTACAACTTATCCCTTAACATGGCACTACACCCTCATTATGTTGTCAATGACCTTAGAAATGTTTTTAGTTTTTTTAATTTGACATTTTTTTTTCTCAGTTTTTTTGTAATAACACCTGGCACAATATTTGTAAGCTGTACATACACAGAAAAATAAGATCTTTCGAATAACTTAATAAAAATTTTAGGTTGCTATTTGAAAAAAAAAGTTCGATGCCGTTGCGGCGCTCCAAATTTTTAGCGCATTTTTGGTAACAAAAAGGAGCTTATCATTTCACTTTGTCCGGCTGGCTGGCTGGCTGGCTGGCTGGGCGGATTGAAAAACTTTTGATCTAGACATCGTAGAGAGGTCCGGTTTTTTGCATTATCTCCGTCTTGTCGAGTTATTGGCGCAATGGACATTCATTAAACCCGTAGTGGTTGCGTTTAATTAGAATTTGCGAAATAACTAACGCCGCTTGAAAACTTGTCCGTGCGTATATCGATTTTAAGCCGATCCGATTGACGTAGAGGAATGGCTTTTTTTATAAAATATACTTTTGGCATTGCCTAACTACGGTCACTAATATGACTTATCTAGGATAATTACTTCAAGGTGAAAACTAATCAAAATCATAACACGGTGATGAGTTTTACAGTTTGTGGTATAATTTTGGTTAAAAATATCGTATCCAGGTCTGAGCGGTTTTTAGCGTAACACAACGAAGTTGAGGTAACGCTTATGTGCTCGTGTTTCCGTCTGTCCGTCCGCCCGTCCGTTCCATCGAGATCTCGGCCCCTGGGACACCTAGAGACTTCGGGTTTTCGCTAATTGATAGCTGCTATGGTCTATATTTGCCCATTTCAGACAGTTTTATTGCACTCTCTATTTTGCGCAGACTGCGCATTGCCAACTTTCTTATTTATGGAGATATTTCTTTGAAATTTTAACCACAGATGCTTCTAGTAAGGGCAAACATTGCGCACATACTAAAAATTATGTGTGCGCATGCGCAGTCCCTGCGCAATGCCAACTTTCCTATTTATGGAGATATTTCTTTGAAATTTGAATCACAGATGCTTCTAGTAAAGGCAAACATTTCGCAAATAGTAAAAATTATGTGTAGGCATGCGCAGTGACTGCGCAATGCCAACTTTCTTATTTATGGAGATATTTCTTTGAAATTTGAACCACTGATGCTCCTAGTAAAGGAGGTCAACTTGTTGATTGCAGCGTTATCGGAGATCGGGGATTTCATTGAGGCAACTGAAGACGTCTTGATTATGGGAGACTTTAATTTCCCATTAACTGTCGGAAATCGGGTAGAGACATTTCTTCAAGAGAAATTCAATATAGTGATCATCTCTCCCCGAACAGTGACAACGAATGGCGGAACAATAATTGATGGAGTTTTTGGCAAAATGGTCAACTACACTGTTGATTGTTCGGTTTACGAGTCGTACTGTTCATACCATCGTCCAATTATTATTAGAGTTCGTGAAAATTAATAAAGAAATATATGTTTGCATATACCTTATTTTATAATTAAAATTTTCTGATAAAATACTGATTGCTAATGCAATACTGATCCGTCACGCCAAAAATGCGCTGAAGTCTCATCGATGCACATACGAGGACTTTTGTAATTTTTTTTTCAAATATCGGTTCGGTTCGTTATTTTTCGTTTCAGTATGCCTAATATACAAATCCAAAATTTGAAGAAAATCCGTCGAGCTGTTACCTCGGAAAATTGCCAACGTATGCACGTACGAACGTACGCACATACATACAGACGGAAAAAAAAGACATTTTATGATGTCCAAAAAACGGTGATCGCAGTAGCCGCCTAGCTAACGCAGGGAAGCTAATATACCTGTGATTTACCCAATATGAAACAATTGTTCAAAAATCTATACACATCAGGGTGCTCAGAAATTCATATTACAAAGTTCTGTTTTAACAATCAAAATGGAATGGAAATTTTAAAAAAATGTGCAGTTATTTATACCTACTTTACCTATCTATTTTTAGTCGGTTCTGATTCACTACAACCGTCAAGGAAGAAATGCATACTATTTTATGAAAAACGTAAATTTGAGTGAGAGTAAATTGGACACTAAGCATGGTCAGATTGTTAAAGTAAAATACCACAAGGCGCAACCCTCCCGGGTCATTTAAGAAATTTTTTGGAACTAATTTTATTCCGCACAATGATAATCAGTAGGTACCTATGTACCTATGTACCTATCCCGTTACTCAAAATTACCATAATTGAAACCCGAAACCTTTACTCCAAAAATCCTATGAAATTACATTTGAAAAATGAGCGAAAATGCAGTAGTTGCAAAGAATGATGAAATAGATTTGTTGTCTTGCATAGTGATCTATTCACTGTTACAATACATTTTTAAATTGTTTATAAAAAAAGATAGGTAGGTACTTGCCTGCTTTACGAGAGGCGGCGGTATCGTTGATACTTTCTAAATATGTTGAAAATTCTCGATGAAAAACTCCACTAGAATTAATAATTCCAAACAAAATTCCGTTGCAACAAAACGAACAAATCACAACCATCCAAGCTCTTGCACCCCCATCGGGTGGTATTACTTGCGACCGATCAGAATTTTCAATAAGTTTTTTGGGTGATTTAACACCATTTTGCATCGATTTAACATTTAAATTGTTGTCTATTAACGTACTCTGTACGTCATCCATCGTTAAACTCTGATCGGCGAATATGAATAATTAAGGCAAATAAAATCGAGGGACACGTGTTTTTAATTTACGAAAAACTTGAACGGTAATGTAACATAATAACCAACGTAAAGCACTACAAGTGAGCTCGATCGCGTTTCAACAGTAGTCCTATTTAGATATAAATAAATTATAAGCGCGGTAATTCTAATTTAAAAACCGTATTGGCCCCCTACTCCTATCATTCACTACGATACGACTGCTCAGAGTAAATCCAAACTCCAGTTATTGACCGTGCAATACTCACTCGTAAGATTGGCTTAATAATATTATCCTAATGACCTAATCTACTGCTAAGAACAGAAAGTAAAAGTATTGCTAGAAATAGTAGCGATATCGCACGTATAGCGATAGTATATTGGATGTTAATTATCCAATTTCGCATTGCATTTTTGTTGATAAATTATGTTTTGAAGAAACTTATTTTGATATGCTTTACTAGGTCAATTGCATCACCACAATACAATCGCAAATTACATTTCAACCAAATTTCTAGCGATTTTTTATGAAAATGGGTTTACCAACAAAGTTTACCCATCCTAAAACGTACATATCTGGCTATGGAGTGAATGGAGCCCAACACAGTGGGCCACACACAAAGAGGAATCCCACGACCAAACGAAGGTAATACAGGTATTATCTTTGCCCAAGCCCAAACTCACAACGCGGGATGACTCTGTGTCCCGTGGGTCTGAAAAGCGCACTAACACTATATTTTCTAAACAGAAACTAATGAAAACTTTCATAAGATCAACAATAGGAAATAAGAAACTCCATTGGATCTAATAAGTAGCGAAGCAAGATGGTACCGACCGACGGCATCACCGACTTAACAGTCACAACACTCTCATATTTTTTCTGTACTTCGTCAGTATTCGGAAATGAATGCGGCAATAGATAGTTTAACAAAAAAACAGCTGAAATTGGGTCAAAGCTACTTTAAAAAAATTCCCGTGCACCTCTGCATCTGAAATTCTGTAGCTTTTTTATTTCCCCCCCCCCCCCCCC